TGTAGTTTAAACAGTTTCAACAAAATGTGATTCAGTTTAAGTTCCTGCAAGGAAATAATCTAAGCATAAACCTATATATTATAACCTATATATAGCACCTATGAGCTCTTATAGGTCTATTATTAGGTCTATTTCCTGTTTAAGCAAAGAACAGATATGTAACATTTTGGACTGATGGCCTCAGATTTATTATCTTAATGAATGTGAATGAAAAGACTCCATTTTATAGTACATATAATACATCTTCCCATCACCACTAACTGCAAAGCCTCCACATCTAAACCTTGAAGCGACTCTGCAGAGCAGCCCTCTTGGTGCAAGTGTCAGAATCCTCCATCAGCAACAACTCCAACTTTTCCTTGTCCTGAAGCATCTGTAGTATCTCGCTCTGCAGTAGGATTGCTGGATGACTCTTGCAGCATAAATCACCAGTGGGGTTCCATCAGCCATCAACCTGGCCACCAGCAATCTGAGGGAGGAAGCAGAAAAAAACAGTTGTTAATCATTTAAAAAAATACACTCTTTGTAAATGTACACTCACTGATTTTATTCATATTATTTTTTCACTAAATTTAAACATAGCAGTCATAACAGAGACATCAAGACACTCCCAAGCCAGCCCAAAGACATAATCTCTCCAGTGTGTACTTGTGTGTCCCCTCATGCCCAAAGCACCTCATCTATGTGGTGTCCAGAACGGACCCAAATATGCTTGAACCAATTCAACAGGCTATTTTAATGTGTAGGAGTTGCAACTCTGCTCTGAGTCCCTTCCAAATGACGAGGCTCCTCACCCTATTACTATAAGACGTAAATCAGTGACAGATATTGATCGATAGCCTTGTTCAGCTTTCTTTTCACCACAGCAGACTGGTCAGAGGTGGCAAAAGAACACATCTGACCAGGTGTTCAGTATATATACAAGTGTTAAAAATACTTGAGCAAAAGTTGAAGTACTGCACTGTTAGACTTTTCATCGCCACTTTACGGTAACATACTGGCGTCACTGTTGCCAGCGTCATACTGTGACGCCGTGTTACGGTAGCTTACTGTTCTGCAGGATGATACCGTTTTTTGCTGGTGTGGTATAATACTCTTGGACAAATTATGGTAACGCACCGTAGCCTTTTTTACGGTATCTCACTGGCGACAGTGACGCCAGTGAGATACCGTTATGTCGTTATGTCGTAAATTACGTCAAAGTAACATCATACTGTGATTAAGAAATTGGTATACTACCGTTTATTCACGGTATGTCACTGTAAGCCCGCTGCAAGGTAATAAACTGCAATATATTAACCAGTAACTTACCGTTATCACGCATCATCAGTACCAAAAATATTCATCTCTGGCTGCTAGAGGACACCGTGTCCCAACAGGCGGTCATTTACTGTTTAACAGGTCGTAATTTGTCTTGTCTTCATTGTTGTTCGTCTTGTGTAAATGTCCAGAAAGCATGGGCCATGGATCATCTGTGGAGACACAGGTAACAACACATTGGTCACTTAAATTATACAAGGAATTCACTAAAAATGGCAAAAACAGTTACCTAATTTGAAGTTCTCCACTCAAATTCAGTAAGCCGCTTGGGGAAAGTTGTGACATGAGGGTTAATGTGAACAACCTTTTGCTTCACAGTGGTCCCAGTCTTTCTGCTTGTCCCAACCTTGGAGGTACATTTTGTTCCCTCTTCAGGGTGTATCCTTACAAAAAACTTTGCACACACTGACTCCTGGTATTCCAGGTTCAATACATAGAATGAACCAAAGAAGACTGACATTGCATCAGCAAAGATGTTCTCTTTGTCCAGCTCAACAATTACACG